ATTGAGAATAAACCAAAGTATGCCTGTTGGATTCAACATAAATCTGGTAAAACTCATTAAGTATACTAATATGCAGGCCAGACACAAACAGTAGCCAGTGCAACCTAACAAAACATTACTAAAGAATGCACAGACTTTCAAGACAAAGGACAAGAAATGTATGTTCTTGGAATCCCCAGTCTTTTCTGCTTTTTAGTAGTTTTGGATTGCTGTGGAAATGGATTGTTGGGGACCAACAGGACACTAATAATTACATGTCATTATACTGTGAAGGTGTGATGGTATATGCTGAACCACTGCAATAGATTCTTTGAGATAATGGCACTTCTGGCTTTTGCTCTTGCATTTGTTATTTCAGGAGTTGCCTCTGCAGACTCATTTCTTGGTGGTGATGGATTTATTCCCATATTAATTTTCTGTTTTCTTGCCTAAATCAAAAAGGTTTTCTCTTCTCTGCACATTAACATTTAGCATAATCCCTCTGCAATGCTCGTCAGTAGGTCAAGAAAGAGAACTCTTGTTTTTCCATTTCTTTCCCCAGAGATGGCACTTTTGACTCCAGATGCTTAGCATTTCTCCTGCCCAGTGATGGATTCGGTGGCCCGGTCAGCCAGTGGGCTAACTAATCCATCCATGTCCTAAAGAATACACTCTAGCTACAGGATTCCAGTCCTCCTTTCTTCAGAGATTCTCTTTTATTTCTTCAAAATAACACAAGTTTTGTGTATCAGGCTGTCCTTTTCCTCCTTTCACTCAGATTCCTTTAGAAGAATTTAACTTCCTCTACAAGATCACACTCCACAAGCTGTTTCTCTGGGAGTTATGGCAAGTCCCCCTGCTTCTGACGGGTATTTGCCTGAGAGTCTTACATAAACCAGGTTTTTTCCCCTGACCCCAGGACTCCCATAAGACTCCCCTCTCCATGTAACATTCTGGTATAACTGTGCTACTTGCATATTTGTTTTTTGTTTGTTTAGTTGGGTGGTTTTTTGTGGGGGTTTTTTGTGAGGACCAGGTGATCTTCAAGATTTCACCTCATCCCATGCCTCACAGCATCAAATGGGAAGCAGCTAATTTATTACAAGGGGTCGAACCTAACTCTCTTTAAGGAGACAGCCTATAATATGACCACTACAATGAGAAAGTTTAGCAGCTGGATTTTAAATTTTAATGGATTTTGAGGGGTTAACTTGGCATTTTAAGAAAAAAGCAATGCTTTGGGGAGGAAACAGCAAGGGAAGCAGTTTTGAGAGTCAGCAACTGGTTTGAAGTGAGAAATAGCTACAAAGTCTTAGAATGACTAGATAATTTTTAGCTCTCTAAATATATCTTGAGTGGGAAGCTAGAATATGGAAACTGAATGCTGCTCTAATTTTCAAACTTCTGTAAACTGGGTAGAGTTAAAGAAACTAAACTTTTTCCTTTAAGGATCATAGTTTTAGGGGCTCTCTCACTGAGTCCTTTTCAAAGACTCTGTTGTAACACACTTGTGCACTGGTTACTCTGGTGAATAGCTTTGGCTCACCCTTGCATTCCTGGAATAGAACACTGCAACTTCTATATTTTTATCTTGTTACATGTATACTCATTATTTGGGTGACTATATGGATGGTGCTGTGGCTCACCCACAGTGAAATACAATTAAATCCCTTTCTCAGGAAGCATTTTCACTGCCACCCACTAATGTAATAACTAGGAAACATGATTGATTGGCTCCGCTAGGTAACAGATGGCTTTAGGATAAAATGGGTATATATACAGAGGTAGGACCCTCCTTCTCTGAATGCTCCATTGCCTGTTGGCCAGTTAGAGGGATGTGAGCTGATTGGCTCTGGCTTACTATAGTCATTTATTTTAAAACCTAGCCTGGGGATTATCAGGCTTCTAATCCATTTGTAGTTGAACCCACTTTGAACCCACTTTGCTTCCTTATATTTATATAATACTAGAAGATTTCCCTGGCATTGCTCAAATCCTTAACTCAATTTTTGCTTTTTTTTTTTTGAAAATAAAGTGAAAATGTACATGCATCATTTAAATCATGTCCCCCCAGCTGGGACAGATCCAGGTGTCCCCTTCACTCCCTAGCCAGAGTAAGGAGTGCAAACTGTGCACTTCTCTTTGCTCCCTGACAAAGGGAAACAGCCAGCATTTTCTGTATGTTTTTCTGAGAAGCAATCCCATTCCGGGCACATCCCATTTTCCTGGCACAGCCAAATCCTGATCTTACTTTGAGTTATGTATGATAAGAGAAAGCTGTATACCGAATTTGGTGGTCCTAGTTCTTACTGTTTAGGAGGAGTTCTTGAACAAACAGAAGGATGAACAGGCAGCAAACTCACATATATAGTAGATAAGAACTGTGGGGGTTTTTAAATTTGCTGTAGATTTTGGTCGACCACCTGTTTAAGGGGCCAGAAAGGAATTTTTTTCCCATTGGGGCCAAATTAGCTGAGATCTAGTGGGTTTTTACATCTTCCACATAGCACATAGCATGTTGGTTTAAATAGGTATAAGATTTAAGAATTTAATTGAGGAATTATAAGCGTGTTAGTTCAGACCAATTTCCAGCAGGTGTATCCAGGGCAAACAAAAGAGATATGGGATTTCACTGGTGGACCCCAGGTCTATGGAATAAGGAGGACTTAAAGTTATTGCAGACTGGAGTACCTCTTTGGTGAATTCAGCAGAGCAAGCTGAATCCATGGGATAGGCAGTGGGACATCTATGCTGAGGTATGAGCTATCTGATAGATGCCCTGTAAATCCCGAGATAGGCCCTCCTGAAATGTCTGGTATGAGGTGGGTCAGAGAGGGCCTCTCTCCAATGTTAAATTTTAATATAAGTTTTGGCCTGCCTTTTAAAATCCATTCTTGTGTCTGTCCTCATTCCCTTGTGTGTCTTGATGAATGAGAAACTCTGTCTCTGAGGCTCTGACCTCTCCTGGACTCAAAACAGTTTCTTGCAAACAACTACTCCATAGCAATATTGTTATAAACCTCTTAATTTAAACCCTCAGAACCCGTGTATTGAAAATGAATGTTTGTACATCCAAATTTCTTGTTACATACAATTAATTCAGATGACCTGTATCACACATTTTTCTTCATTAAAGTACATCTGGAAGAGACTCGCTGTTAGTAAATACCCTTTGTTCTGTCTGTGTACGTAGATTTAATGAAAACTATGTTTTATAACTTTAGCTAGAGCAAAAGATTTCAGAGACAGAAAAAGGAAAAACCCAAGTACTAGTGCTTGCCATTCCCACCATAGTCACTAAAAGCATGTTCCTCCCTAAATAGAAGAGTCTAAATAGAGCTATGAGGGGTAGAAATAGATTCACTTTTATTTCAGAGGGCAATTGGATGCTCCTTAGCTGAACAGTAGAAGAATTATTTTTAAGTGTTTCCTTTTGATTTAAACAGGTGGCTTAATCATGCTATGTGGAGTTCATGTGCAGTTGATTGATTCATGGCTACTAATTTAAAAAATATTAAATTTCCTACAAGCAGTATGGACAAAGTGTGAGGCTCATCTCTGATGTCTGAATTACGGTGCTTTTTTTTTTTTGAAAGAACCATCAACTTCGACTCCCCCAAAACTGTACTTTCAACACATTAGTTGTAATTAATGAAATCCCAGAATAGGGTATTTTTATGTGGTGTATTTACAATAGTGGATTTCCAAAGTTTACAACTTTACATTAGTCTTTTAAAAACAATGTGTTGTACTAGCATAGGGACAGCATACAGTGAAGTCATATAGTGCCAAAACTCCTATTACTTTCAGTGGTGAAAGACTGGATCCCTATTATCTGAGTACTGTAAAGTAAATGTTTTCATTGTCCTCATCATTTTGCACTTCTAAAGCACCTTCTATCACAGGTGCTTAAAACACTTTACAAATACTAGTGATTTAAGTTTCCCTTCACCTCACCCCCAAGGTAAGTACAGTAAAACCTGTGTTATTCAGCATGCTCGGGGATTAGGGCATTCCAGTTACCGGTATCTAAAAATTCTGGTTATCTGAGGGTCCCATCAACCTAGGAAAAGCCAATGGACAATAATAGTAAAACTCAAGTTTTTAATATTGGTAGTTTTGTAGTGTGAGGCAGTTGGTCTCACATTTCTATTTTGAGTTAAAGATGATAGTACTTCTTAAATAAAAAATTGTTAAGCCAATCATGGTAAACCAAGCCATGGTTAACAAAGTTTTCTGGTTAACAAAATTCCAGATAATAAAGGTTTCACAGTACTACTAGTTTCCTTTTGCAGATATGAAAACTGAGATGCAGAGAGATGTACTTGCTCAAGGTCACATCAAAGACCTGCACATGCAGAGCTGAGATAGAGGATAGGGTTGAAATTCTGGCTCCCTTGAAATCAACTGCAAAACTCTTCCACAGATCTTCTGGCTAACTGTCATGTTCTTTAACTATAAGACCATATTCCACAAAGAGGCATGCTAGGAATAGAGGGGAAAGCATGCATTTGAAAACAAAACTATTCAGTCAATGGTTCCTCTGTATATCATTTTATAGATTTTTATGTTTGAATTAGAGCTCTTATTCAAATCAAATTAATTTTCTGCTTGATTCTGCTGTGAAAATATAAATACTATGTTTTATATTGTGAGATGAATATAACTGGAGACCGAAATTTAGCATGATCACTTTACTGTATCTGACAAAGCTGTCATATAAAAGAGAATATTCTTCTATAAACACAAATTTCACAGATGGCTTGCGAAGGCAGCAAGGAAAATTATGAAAATACTTGGAAGATCAAAAGGCTTATGTTTACATATGTTAGATGGAAAACAACAGTAATAATATTTGGTCAGTCCAGCACTCCTTGAAATAAACAGAAGTTTTCTCTATGTAAGGGCAACAGGATTGGACCCATAGATCATATCTTGGTTTTTAAATAGGCAAGATTTTACTTTATAATATTTCAGTCACATGCAAAATAATTATATTATGTTTTCTTTTGTTTATGAAGCCTCTGCCTCCTTGTCATGACTCTAAGGAATCTATTGAGGTGTTCAAACAGCACTGCCAAATAGCAGAAGAATATCATGAAGTCAAAAAGGAAATTGCACTGCTGGAAGAAAGAAAGTAAGTAACTGTTTTTCCAGATAAACCTTAGTATATACTTATACATTAATGCAAATCACACTTATTTTCCTTTGAAGAAAAAAAATCATAATTATTTAAAAACCATTTAGAATATGATTTGCAGGCTATTGAAGGAATAGTGGAAAATGCTGCCAGAAGTAACTATTAAAGAAAAACAGCATTTTTTTATTTGAGTAAAGAAACTAAAAAGAGCAAAAGCGTGAGAGTATGTCTACACATCAAAGTTAATTCAAAATAACAGCCGTTATTATGAATTAACTTTACTAGCTTCTGCACAGGCAAACCGCTATTTCAAAATAATTTCAAAATAGTGGAGCACTTATTTCGAATTTGGTAAACCTCATTCTACAAGGAATAACGCCAAATTCGAAATAGCTATTTCAAAATAAATGCTGTGTAGACACTTATTTCAAAATAGGGGGCCTCCTGCCTTCCCAGAGTTCCCTGGTGGCCACTCCAGCTTGAAACAAGAACACTCCTCTCCCTTCCCTCCCTCCCCAGAGTCCTTAAAGGGGTAGACTCTGGCCACAGTACCTGTGCCAGCTCCAAGCCTGCCAGCCCAGAGCCAGCAGTCACTGCCCCTGACCCAATGGCCCCAAAACATGAGCCAGCAAGCCACTGTCAGCCAGCCCTCCACCGCTCTCCTGGAGCAGTCTGCCAGCTCCCAGGAGACTGCCAGGGCCCAGGGTGGAGATCAGGGTAGACCTTACTCAGGTTTGGGGGGGATGCCCCCAACGTTCATAATCTCCACACTAGACTGAGGAATGCAGCCATCTATGGCAGGATAGCTGCCAGCCTGGCCACCAAAAGCCACATGCGAACCCAGGAGCAGGTTCGCATGAAAATCAAGTTGGTCCAGCAAGACCCCTGAGCCCTGAGCTTCCCCTCCCCCTTCTTCTCCTTGCTTCCCCCTTCCACCTCCCTCCTCCCAGGTTTTCCCCTCCCCTCTCGCACCCTATTTCCTCCCCTCTCCCACCTCCTTTCTCCAGTCTCACCAGTTTCATCCCTCCTCTCACCCCCCAGTTTTGTTAAATAAAGAGAGTTTGTGTTCATGAAAATACGTATATTTTATTTGACATCAGGAAAGGGGGCTGGGAGGGTAAGTGGAACGATGTGGGGGAGGAATGAAGCACGAGCCCACAGTGGGGCAGACCAGGGAGACTCTTACGCTGTGTCTAGACAGGCAAGATTTTCCGGAAAATCAGCCGCTTTTCCAGCAAAACTTGCCAGCTGTCTACACTGGCAGCTTGAATTTCCGGAAAAGCACTGACGATCTCATGTAAGATCGTCAGTGCCTTTCCGGAAATACTATGCTGCTCCCGTTTGGGCAAAAGTCTTTTTCCGAAAGACTTTTGCGCAAAAGGGCCGGTGTAGACAGCACAGTACTGTTTTCCGCAAAAAATCCCCGATCGCGAAAATGGCAATCGGGGCTTTTTTGCGGAAAAGTGCGTCTAGATTGGCCACGGACGCTTTTCAGCAAAAAGTGCTTTTCTGGAAAAGCATCCTGCCAATCTAGACACGCTTTTCCGAAAATGCTTTTAACGAAAAACTTTTCCGTTAAAAGCATTTCCGAAAAATCATGCCAGTCTAGACGTAGCCTTAGTGTTCCTCAGGGTGGAAGCTCTCCCACAGGGCCTCCTGGATACTGACAGCCCCCCGATGGACCTCCCAGAAGGCAGCCTGCAGAAAGTGCAGCCAGGCTTGCATCAACGCGTTCACGAGAAACACTAGAGTGCCCAGGGGCAGCTTCGACTCCATGTTGCAGAGTGCTGTGGTGTCCCGAGTGAGGGCAACCAGAGCATGCCGAGACAAAAATGCTTTGCTGTCCCTCATCGAGGTAGGCAAGCAAGCAGGGAAAGCTGAGAAGCAGCTGTCTGGGTTGGGGGTTCCTATAAGCACAAGCCTCAGATAGCATCAGGCAGCAGCCACACAAACAGACTCCTGACCTGATGCCCTGCTGGACCTGGCTCCGGCCGGCCTTCAATGCAATTCAGTGTCCACTCAGTGTGGACGTGCTATTTCAAAATAGAAAAATGCAATTTCAAAATGCATTTTGTGTGTAGATGTGTTATTTCGAAATAAGCTATTTCAAAATAACACTGTAGTGTAGACATACCCTGAGCATGGAAGCTAACACTGAAGATATTAACCTATAGAAACCCTTCATATTCTAGGCCAGAAGATTTTTGTGACCCCATTGTCCTGCCTGGGATAACTGCAGTTGGACAGAGCAAGCTATGTCTCTGTCCTAAGATTTGGCCATGACCAGGATAAGGGCAGAACTTTAACTTTTCAGGGGTTTCACTTATGCAATTGTCCACTGAAGGTCATCTACCAGAATCCCTTTATTGGCTGCCTTTAGGACACTGAATGGTCTTCTTCACACAAGCTTGGAGCAAGTTAGTTAAACTGGTGCAATCCCCTGTGTAGACACGAATGGGCTGGACCCCTTTGGATGACACCTGATGAGCTGACACCAGCTGGTGTGTCTCCTGTGGCCTCCTGTTGCTTGGGGGTCCCCTCATGGTGGCCTTCTCTTCCTGCCCTCAGAGCTTCTTCTTTTGCAATGTGCTTCTCACTGCAGACTTTAGGGGAAGGGAGGAGTACAAAGCTATAAGGTAGGGGGTAAATAGGACTAACACTGACTGCTGTACTCCATAGCAGGAGCCTTTTTGCCCCATTTTCTTTGTGGGTGAAGCAGAGAGTAAGAGCACATACACCATGGGTACGTCTACACTACAAAGTTAATTCGAACTAACGGACGTCAGTTCGAATTAACTTTGATAGGCGCTACACTAGCAAACCGCTAGTTCGAACTTAATTCGAACTAGCGGAGCACTTAGTTCGAACTAGGTAAACCTCATTCTACGAGGACTAAGCCTAGTTCGAACTTACTAGTTCGAATTAAGGGGTGTGTAGCCCCTTAATTCGAACTAGTGGGAGGCTAGCCCTCCCCAGCTTTCCCTGGTGGCCACTCTGGCCAACACCAGGGAAACTCTACTGCCCCCCTCCCGGCCCCGGACCCCTTAAAGGGGCACGGGCTGGCTACGGTGCCCGTGCCAGGTGCAAGCCTGCCAGCACCCAGCCAGCAGACCCTGCACCTGGCACGGCTTGAGCCAGCCACCCGATGCCCACCAGCCCTCCCCCTCTTCCCAGGACCAGGCTGGCGGCTCCCGGGAGCTTGCCCGGGACCGCAAGAGGCGGGCACCCACATGGTCTAGTGCAGACATCGTGGACCTCGTCCACGACCTCCGCACTAGGCACAGGAAAGTGGCCGTCTAGGGCAGGAGAGCTGCCAGCCTGGCCACCCAGGAACAGGTGTGCATGAAAATCAAGGTGGTCCACTGAGACCCCCGACCCTGAGCCCTGAGCTTACAATGGCCGTCCTGGGTCAGACCAAAGGTCCATCTAGCCCAGTAGCCTGTCTGCCGACAGCGGCCAACCCTAGGGACCCTGGAGGGGATGGACCGAAGACAGTGACCAAGCCATTTGTTTTGTGCCATCCATCTCCAGCCTTCCACAAACTTTGGGCAGGGACACCACTCTTACCCCCTGGCTAATACCACTCCATGGACCCAGCCTCCATCACTTTATCTCACTTCTCTTTAAACTCTGTTCTAGTTCTAGCCTTCACAGCCTCCTGCAGCAAGGAGTTCCACAGGTTGACTCTTCGCTTTGTGAAGAACAACTTTCTGTTACTAGTTTGAAGCCTGCTACCCATTCCTTTCCTTTGGTGTCCTCTAGTCCTTCTTTATGGGAACTAATGAAGAACTTTTCTTTATGTACCCTCTCCACCCCACTCATGCTTTTATAGACCTCTATCCTGTCCCCCCTCAGTCTCCTCTTTTCTAAACTGAAAAGTCCCAGTCTCTTTAGCCTCTCTTCATATGGGCCCTGTTCCAAACCTCTGATCATTTTAGTTGCCCTCCCCTCTCCCATCCTCTCTCTTCTCCTCTCCCACCTCCTTTTCCCAGTCTGCCCGAGTTTTGTTCAATAAAGAGAGATTCTATTTTTGACCACACATTTTCTTTATTTGGTACATCAGGAAGGGGGGCTAGGGAGGGGTAAGTGGAAGGAGGTGAGGGAGGAATTGGGTACGAGCCCCCGATGGGGAGGAGTGGGCTGGCTCTGCAGGCTTCTGGGGGGGGAAGCTCTCCCGCAGCCCCCCAATTGCCCCTTCTCCCCAGATGGCAGCCTGCGGCAAGTGCAGCCGGGGTGATGGCCGAGTGCTGTGATGTGCCGAGTGTGGGCACTCAGGGCACTCCAAGCCAGGACTGCTTTGCAAGCGGGGCACCCCTGAGAACTGTCTGTCCGGGGTAGGGGTCGGGTCCCTTTAAGCACAGCCCTCGGCTAGCCTAAGGCAGCAGCTCCACGCTCTAAGTCCTCATCTGATACCCTGCCAGCACTGCTTCCGGCCATCCTTAACCCTGGTTCAGGGTCCACTTAATGTGGACATGCTAGTTCGAATTAGCAAAATGCTAATTCGAACTAGTTTTTTAGCCTGGATGCGTTAGTTCGAATTAGCGCTGTAGTGTAGACATACCCCATGGGAAGTATGGGAGCAATGAATACAGTTACCTCATGAGGAAGAGGGAGTGAGAGAGATGGATAGGGAAATCAAAAGTTAGAATTATAGGATAGAACAATGGCCAAGTTTGGTGGGAAAACATGCTGTAAATTGGCACAGCTCTGACTTCATTTGAATTCTGCCTATTTACAGTAGTAGTTCACATGGGGCAAAATCAACCTGAAAAGGAAAAAGAGATCGAAAAGGAAGAAAAGGATGTGAAGGCAAGAATACAGCATACTTAGATCAGTGAACATAATTTAATTTATGTTCCTGTAACTTCTTATATTTCCATGACAGATGTGTTAGATCTCTAATTTTGGGTGAAAGGGATAGGATAACTGGTTATTTTGGGAACTTATTATATTACTATTACAAGCTAATGACCCTGGATTATGTAGTTAAATATTAG